ACATTAAAGCTACACATGAGTGGTACCCACAACTGAACCGAAAGTGAAACAAATCATGATGGTTACTTGGTGCAGAAGTTAGAAAGAGCTGTCCAGTGTTTGAGAGAACACACTTCAATATCATCAAGTAAATGTGGCACATTTATTGGTCTGAGGAAACACCACAATGAATTCCAGCAAAGCTTACAAGATAGTATTCACGTAAGGGAAAGGAATTATCCTATGAGTATCTAGAGATAATTATTCTGAAAAAAGAGTAATTTTTCACTTTTTTCGTTTTATCTGAACACTAGTGATATCCTTAATCTTTGAATGTAAAAGAAGAGGCAGTTGACTAAAGGACTAGCATGTTATCAAAACTAGAGGATCATCCTGATTTGTGTTTTCTAGAACATCAAGAGGGATTAATTAGACTTTTACTTCATAACATTAAGAAATTTGGAAGATCACAGCAACATTTTCTTCAGTTCATGTTAACACAGAATTTGGGGGATAAAGAAAGATTTCATTCCTACAACCTATCTCTTGGCACGGGAAAAGCATGATTTTAAGTGCTCCTTCCTTACCAGAGTGGGAACTAAACCAAAGATATTGGGAAAACCTGAATTTACAGCAACAAAAGACTTAAGCATTTTCTAAGTTCAGAGAAGTTTTCAACATCTTGGTGTGAAGAAACAACAACAAGCATTGAATTTTCTCTTTGGGCTTCTTGGGGTCCCAGATCAAGTTCTAGGTTACCCTCATTGCTTTGTTCTCCTGTGGTATATCAGTTGAGAGCAGAAGCTGTGGTGTAGTTTGAGGAATGATCTGTAACAATTATGGAATTTACCAAAGCTGCTTTTTCTCTTGTTCTAAGAATGGGAAAGTATGCACACAAAAAAAAGATAGTATTCACTAAAGGTGAAATGTGGTTGATGAATAAAATATTTTAGATAAAGATAATTAGAACCAACCTATTTTCAGCTGACCTGGCAGGTGAGTAATAGCCCCAGAGTAAAATACAAAAAATGTCACTGTAGATGTAAGATGTTGTATATTTTTAACAAGGTTATTTTAGAGGGAAATAAATGAAAATAGAAGTCAATAGTCAAATTGACTATAGTAATATTACTTTCACATTTTAATAAGTTCAAATAATTAATTCCATAATTGCCTGGAAGAAACAAAGTTGGGGATAGCAATCATGATGCTATTCTTTTTTTCAAAGCTGTAATGCAAAAAGTTTTCCATCTGCAGGTTAAGTACCAGGACAGTTTATTGCCATATGTATTAAATGTAAACACATGACCGCTACTGTACATGATGAGGCCTGAAAGTCCGGGAGCAAGGCCTAAAGAGTAGCTCTGCAGAACACAGGGGGTCATATCATCCAAGAAAGGTGATTGTGGGATGTTGGGTATCACTTCAGCACTTTCCTACTCCAGCTCTAATGTGGTTTATGTTGTAATTCATGTTATTAACACCTACACCTATTTTACTCTCATTGGAAAAATCAATAGTAGAACTGGAAATTAGAGGTTTAGAAATGTATAACCACTTTCTACTCTCCCTGGGTGTCACCTAAATTAAGATGATGCTGTGTTACTGTCAGTAACAATAATTAATAAAGAAGCCTGTTATCTTTTAGCTTTTTAGATTCATAGTCTTCATGTTCATTTGTCCTTTGTCAGCTGTATATCAGGGTTGGTTGCATATTAGTTTAAAGAAGTAGAATACTGAAACTACTAAAATTGGAGCATGAAATTATATAACTCATAAAGAAATGCAGTCAAATCAATCATTTATGTGTAAGATGAAAGTTCCATACTAATAGGATACTGTATTTTATTGAATTTATTAGCATCTCAGCTTTCCCTACCAAAGTTTTTATATGAATATGAATTTCAGGCAAAAAACAGATAATTGATAAAAATACAGTGTGCAATATAATTTTTGGTATTCACATATTATAAGCAGATACTTAATAGAAGAGAGACATGAAGCACTGGGAAACTAAATTCAAAGGCATTAAATATGAACACACTGAAATTAAAATTTGAATGTTGTAAGTATAACCAAATTTTCCTTATACTAGACTAGTTTCCTTCAGAACCTATTATTTCAAGTTAATAGGACAGTAATTTCAGATTGTAACTCCCTTGTATTTAAATATAGCATTGCCCTCTAGTGGTTACCTTTAAAGCAACATTTTATTAAATTTATAAGGCCAGCTCTCTTCAAGATGGATCCTAAAAGATGTATATTAAAATGTCACCTCACTAAATGGATATAGTAGGACAATGAATATTAAATGACAAGAATCTAATATACCACTGCATTTAAATAAATAGTGTCATCTGGTGGGAAGAACACTGATATTGTAGCCTAAGTTCCTATTCTGATCTATAGCTGTCATTTTGCCACATTGAACAGATGGTCACAATGAAACTCAATAAGTATTCAGATCAATAATAGGTGAAAGTTTTTTATCTTTCTTCAAAAGTATATTATTTACAGTTTTTCACTGACCACTACTCTTTAGTCTTCAATATTCTCACCTTTCTGTTGTTGATAACATATCTAACAATGTCTTTTTGGTCTTTTTCCTTTTCTTTCCGAAACAGTCCACCTTATTAAAAATTCCTTCCTTCTATAACAGCTCCCTCAAGAAACTCTGGCATTTTCTTCTATTGCTCCCTCTTCACATTAGAATAAAATAGGCTGATTCTCCTGTATATACAAGAACCACTTAGATCTCTGAGTATAAAAATTCCACATATCACTCAAGACCTAGTCCAATGCCAGCTTCTTCATGAGATCATTGCTCCTCCTACCTGGTAACTTCTCCATTCATGAAATTTCCATGGAATTCAATCCATGCCTCTTTTAAAGTATTTGAATTTTTTTGTGAACAAGCACTCACCTCTTAAAGAGTTTCACAAATGACCACTAACACCCAACCACCAAGCATGTCAGGGTAACACATTTAATCACATACCATGAAACAACTCCTTTCTGGCCTAATGCATGATGCTCCTCCTTTCTATTACCACTCTTACTCTGCTTTTCATTGGTTAACACCTGAATTTATTTTGGAATCTTTGATGCACCTGCTCCCTGATGTTCCATGTCCCACTGAAAGAGAACCATTTAAGTCCCTTTTGTATTATAGCTGGAGACAGGGACACCAAATTACTTATTGGATCATAATACTTTAGCTAAAAGCTCCACATGTGATATCTAGTATGCATTGTCCACGAATCTTTTGATGCCCCCACAAATGTGCTTTTAGTATGAAAACACATTAGGCTTAAACTGAATTTTGTTCACCCACCACCATTCCATCTGCCCTAATTCCTAAGCCGATTGTGACCAATTTGAAGGACAAGGTCTAAATGTATTTAATCACTTCTTCTTCAGTCAACCTTAGAAAATCACTCCCCATCCAGTAGGAACTAAACAAAAACTGAAGAATTAATGATACCATGGAAAACCAATTTACATTTTTATCTATTTCTTAAGAATTTCATATACTCCTTACACGTTCGAGGAGCTGTAAATAATAAATAAGGATCTGTGTATACGTGACACAATAGGGAATACAAATAAATGGTTATGCCGGCGCCCAGCACTGTAGTGTAATAGGTTAAACCTCTATCGGCAGCACTAGCATCCCATATCAGCAACAGTTCGTGTCCCAACTGCTCCACTTTTGATCGACCTCCCTGTTAATGGCCTGAGAAAGCAGTTGAAGATGGCCCAGCTACATGGGCCCTTGCACCCACATGGGAGACCTGGAAGAAGCTCCTGGCTAACGGCTTCAATTTGACCCAACTCTGGCCATTGCAGCCATTTAAGAAGTGAACCAGTGGATGGAAGACCTCTCTCTCTGTCTCTCTCTCTCTGCTGTAACTCAAAAAAATCAATAAATCTTGGAAAAAATTGTTATGCTAATATTCCTTTCCAAAATTTTATCATAATGTATGTTACTTCCATTATATGGGAAAAATCATACTCTGTCCTTGGTTTCCATTAAAATCATCATATATTTAAAGGTAGCACCAGGGTTTTTTTGTCTTTTCAAAGCCTTATTCTACTTTAAATAAATGCAAATTTTAAATTTACGTAAATAGATGGATATAAGATTTTTGTTACCTATGCTTTTGCTGTCTATATTTTTAAGCTCTGTCAGACAGAAAAAAGTGTAGAAAGTGAAATGTTTTCTAGGAGTTCTGCTTTGGACTGAGTTTTTTTTTTTTCATGGTTCTACAAAAGGGTAATGTTTTCCTGGTGAGTGTTTCTATATTAAATATCACTCACTAGTGTTAAAAAAAGAGCTCACAAAGTCCAAGCTTGAATAAATATAAGATATAGAGAGGAAAGAAAGAAGTGTTTATGAGGTTATTATATACTTTTCTGTTTTAAGTAAAATTTGTAAAGAAAAAATCCTGATGTCTTCAAGAGATCAGCTTAACAGAATTATTTTATCTGATACCTGCTGTCTTCAGCACAAACATAAGCATTGCAAAGAAAAAACAGTCATGTGAGTCTTTTCGTTATGGTTAGTGAAATTACATCACATATTTAGTAATGCTATTAAAAACATGGGCAGCCAACAATTGATCACTATTTTTATGGAAAGCTTTTATTTAATAAATATAAATTTCATAAGTACAACTTTTAGATTATATCGGTTCATTCTCTCATACCCGCCCTCCTACCCCCAAACCATCCCACCTCCTAATCCCTCTCCAATCCCATTCTTCATTAAGATTCGCTTCTAATTACTGTTTGAAGACTAGTTTTACCATTAATTTTTATAGTACAACATATTAAGGACAGAGATCCTACATGAGGAGCAAGTGCACAGTGACTCCTGTTGCTGATTTAATAATTGACACTCTTATTTATGAAGTCAGTGATCACCCAAGGCTCTTGTCATGAGCTGCCAAGGCGATGGAAGCCTCTTAAGTACACAAATTCCGACATTATTTAGACAAGGCCATATTCAAAGTGGAAGTTCTCTCTTCCCTTCAGAGAAAGGCACCTCCTTCTTTGATGGCCTCTTCTTTCCACAAGGATCTCAGTCACAGAGATCTTTCATGTAGGTAACATTTTACACAGGATCACTATTTTTAAAGATCTGTTGATTGATTTGAAAGACAGAAAGAGGAGAGAGAGAGGGAGAGGGAGAGGGAGAGGGAGAGGGAGAGGGAGAGGGAGAGGGAGAGGGAGAGGGAGAGGGAGAGGGAGAGGGAGATTCTTTCAGCTGGTTTATTCCACAAATGGTCACAACAGCCTGGACGGTGCCAGACTGAAGCCAGCACCCAAGAACTCTGTCCAGTGTGGGTCACCATCTGCTGCTTCCTAGGTGCATTGGCAAGGAGTTGGGTCAAAAGCAGAAGAGCCAAAACTCTAATCAGCACCCCAGAATGTGACATGACCATCCCAAGTGGCAGCGTAACCCATTGCACAACTCTCTTACTGACTGATCACTGTTATAGCCAATAGTAGCTATAGTTGGGAATCAGTATTATAGTTATATTTTAGCACTATACCTTAAAATTAGCAGTAAGTAAAGTTATTTTTGTGTTAGAGAATGCTAGATACTTCACAATGTCTACTTTCACTTTCTTTCTTAGTTGTAGTCTACTTTTATTTCAAGATATTTCTACCTGAAATAAAAACTGTATTTTATACCTCTTTGGAGCTGGGTGTTCATATCTTGTTCTATTTCTATATCCTAAATGTCTAACACTTCAAAATCATTTTTTTCCAAATCTCTAGACTTTTTCTTTTTTTTTAAACTTTTATTTACTGAATACAAATTTCCAAAGTACAGCTTATGGATTACAATGGCTTCCCCCCCACATAACGTCCCTCCCACCCGCAGCCCTCCCCTTTCCCACTCCCTCTCCCCTTCCATTCACATCAAGATTCATTTTCAATTCTCTTTATATACAGAAGATTAGTTTAGCATATATTAAGTAAAGATTTCAACAGTTTGCTCCCACATAGAAACACAAAGTGAACAATACTGTTTGAGTACTAGTTATAGCATTAAATCACAATGTACATTAAGGACAGAGATCCTACATGAGGAGAAAGTGCACAGTGACTCCTGTTATGGCATCAGTGATCACCGTAGGCTCTTGTCATGAGTTGCCAAGGCTATGGAAGCCTTTTGAATTCACCAACTCTGACCATATTTAGACAAGGTCGTAGTCAAAGTGGAAGTTCTCTCCTCCCTTCAGAGAAAGGTACCTCCTTCTTTGATGACCTGTTCTTTCCATTGAGATCTCACTCGCGGACATCTTTCATTTAGGTTTGTTTTGTTTTTTGTTTTTTTGTTTGTTTTGTTTGTTTTTTGGTTTTTGTTTTGTTTGTTTTTTTTTTTCCAGAGTGTCTTGGCTTTCCATGCCTGAAATACTCTCATGGGCTTTTCAGCCGGATCCGCATGCCTTAAGGGCTGATTCTGAGGCCAGAGTGCTGTTTAGAACATCTGCCATTCTATGGGTCTGCTGTGTATCTCACTTCCCATGTTGGATCATTCTCTCCCTTTTTGATTCTATCAGCTAGTATTTGCAGACACTATTCTTGTTTATGTGATCCCTTTGGCTCTTAATCCTATCATTATGATCAATTGTGGACAGAAATTGATCACTGGGACTAGTGAGATGGCATTGGTACATGCCACCTTGATGGGATTGAATTGGAATCCCCTGGTATGTTTCTAACTCTACCGTTTGGGGCAAGTCAGCTTGAGCATGTCCCGAATTGCACATCTCTTCCCTCTCTTATTCCCTCTCTTATATTCTTCTTGACTGTGTAGAATATTATGTAGTGTCCTGTCTTCTTGGAGCTTCGAGATAAGTTGTCAGACTATCCTTGTTATAGGAATACTAAAGTAAGATAATCTCAAAAAAAGTTTTACTTTTCCATTTTTTATTTACTTTAAACTCCATTCAGGCCTCCAACATGGGTAGCAGGGATCCCAGCACTTGAATCATCATCTGCTGCCTCCCAGAGTATGCATTAAGCAGGAAACTGGATCAGAAGCAAAGGTGCGGGCTGGTGCTGTGGCTCAGTGGGTTAAAGCCGCGGCCTGAAGTGCCGGCATCCCATATGGGCGCCGGTTCTAGTCCCAGCTGCTCTTCTTCTGACCCAGCTCTCTGCTATGGTCTGGATTAGCAGCAGAAGATGGCCCAAGTCCTTGGGCCCCTGCACCCATGTGGGAGACCTGGAAGAAGTTCCTGGCTCCTGGCTATGGAGCATTGCATTGCGGCCATCTGAGGAGTAAACCAGTGGATGGAAGGCCTTTCTCTCGTCTCTACCTCTCTAGTAACTCTGTTTCAAATAAATAAAATAAATCTTAAAAAAATTTTTTAAAGGAAGAAAAGGTGAGATTCAAACCCAGGAATTCCAATAAGGGATGCAGGTGTCTGAAGCTACAACTTAACCACTGCACTTAATACTCAGCCCCCAATGTAAGTTTTAGATTGGATTATATTTAGCATAACACTTTCTGGTTCTTTACTTTTGGGTTTCCCTTTCATTCTTTATGAAAATTTTGAAGTTTAGTGTTTTCAGTAGTGTCACAGCAGATTAAGCCATTGATTGGGACACGAGCATCCCAAATCAAAGTGCCTGATTGGAGTCCTGACTGCTATACAATTCTGATCCAGTTTCCTGTGAGTCAGCAGATGATTGTAAAAATACCTGGGTTCTTGCCACCCAAGTGAGAGGCCTAGATGGAGTTTCATGATCAAATGTGTCCTGGCCCAGCCCCTGCTGTCAAGAGTATGTCAGGAGTGAATCAATGCTTGGAAAATCTCTCTCTCTCCCTTTCTCTCTCTCTCTCTCTCTCTCTTTCTCTCTCTCTTTCTCTCTCTCTCTTTTCCTCCCTCTCTCCTTCCCTCCCTCCCAATATTTTCATGAAAGAAATATCTCAGTATAAGAGGGAAATCCGAAGAACGTGCCCTATGGGGCAAAATCTTAAGTGTGAATAAGGTAGGAAGGATACTTATTTATGGCGCATTAAATCTGTGATTATAGAGTGAATTGAAATTATGTCTTTGCAAAAATTAAAAAAAAGAGAAAGGGCAAAAGGAGGGGAACTGAAGGAGAGAGAGGGGGAGAGAAGGAAATATGGTTATCTTCTTAGAATTATACCTAAGAAATATATAAAATCGGCCAGTGCTGCTGCTCAATAGGCTAATCCTCCACATGCGGCGCCGGCACACCGGGTTCTAGTCCCGGTCGGGGTGCTGGATTCTGTCCTGGTTGCTCCTCTTCCAGACCAGCTCTCTGCTGTGGCCCGGGAGTGCAGTGGAGGATGGCCCAAGTGCTTGGGCCCTGCACCCGCATGGGAGACCAGGAGAAGCACTTGGCTTCTGGCTTCGGATCAGCACAGTGTGCCGGCCACAGCGGTCATTGGGGGGTGAACCAACGAAAAAGGAAGACTTTTCTCTCTGTCTCTCTCTCTCTCTCTCTCACTGTCCACTCTGCCTGTCAAAAAAATAAAAAATTAAAAAAATATATAAAATCTGTTTATATTAATAAAAATTTTAAAAATAAGGAAAAAGGGACCAGTGCTGTGGTAAAGCAGGTTAAGCCTCTACCTGTGACCCCAGTCCCATCTGGGTGCCAGTTCATGTGCCAGCTGCTCCTCTTCTGACCCAGCTACTTACTAACGGCCTGGGAAAGCAGTTAAAGATGGCCCAAGTGCTTAGGCCCCTGCAACAACATGGGAGATCCAGAAGAAGCTCGTGGCTACTGGCTTCGGATTGGCCCAACTCTGGACATTGTGGCCATATGGGAAGTGAACCAGCGAATGGAAGACCTTTCTCTCTCTGTCTCTCCCCCTCTCTCTTTAATTCTGCCTCTCAAATAAATAAATAAATCTTTTTTTAAAAAGGTGATGGAAAATGGCAGACTAAATCAAGACATTGAAAAAGCATTTCATCAGTTTCGATTCCAAATTGGTGGTGGTGGAGGGGAATGTGGCTAACATCAAACTTACCATGGAGGAAGACAGTGAAAATTTACAGTATGGTCTATAAACTACTTCTGCCCACAGGTAGGTCTCATGAAAGGGACTGGATGGTTTACTATGAAAGTGTGGTAAATTCATCAAGAAAAATAAGAAAGCACTGAAAAACTATAATTCAAGACAAAAAGTAATCAAAATCAGAAAATAATTGAAATCTATTATATTTTTAAAATTAAAAATATTGGGTGGGAAATTTGCAAAGAAAGTATTTTCATATATATTGATTTTTAAAGCAGGGTAAGATCTGAAAAGCAGCCATAATAAAGAACTTGAAAGTGATTTGGGATATCAGATTAGGTGAATTTGCAGTGACAAAATAATGACCATTGTTTGTATCACCCCTGAAAATTACATTTAATTTCAAGAATCTCAGTGTAACATAGACATAGGTTAAATGGAAAAATCCACAGGGGGTCTGAAAAGTATTTAGTGAAATAGAAATATTCATTTATACCTACAGATTTACAGATTAAAGACACTAAGAACATAAACCCCCAACTTAAGAGTAATTTACTCTAAGTAAGTGACTACAAATATTTGAGGGTTTATATGTAAGAAAAAAATAAAAGTAATTTATCTGTTGATCAGGGACACAAGTTAATAAACACAATTGAATTACTCATTTTGCATGGTACCAATTAATTTGCTATGTCCTGTAACTAGAGTCCTTCTGGCTTCCTCAGTGCTTAATCATTATAGACAAGGTATTGTATTCTTCGCTTTGCAAAAACTGTTCCACATACCCAAAATCATTCTTTGTACCAGGCTTTCTTTTCATCTTACTCTACTAGAAACTGAAAATCACAGCAATGTACAAAGGCCTCACACAAGGCATTATCTCTAAAAACTCCTCTGATAAAGCGCATGAGTTATTTAGAGGGGAGAGAAGCATCCTAGGGTCTCTTCAGACAAGCAGTCCTAACTTGTTCATAGAGGTTTTCAGTTTCCACCCTAGAAAGGACAGTAATATATGCCCAAGGGGGAAGCTCTGAGGAAATTAATTTCACTGGAAATAAGGCCCGTGTTTAGCCTCAATAAGCCCTCACCTGGTTGAACAACATAATTTTGTAGAAATATGAAGGGCATGTTCAGAAAATATCTGCAGGTTGAAAAGCATTACTCTTAAGAGAAAAAAAATTTCCAGGATTCTCAAATGCTATGTTTTCAGTTAGGAATTTAAAAATCAGTTCAAGAATGACTTCGCCATTAATGTGTCTCAAAGATAACTCAGTGTTCTTCAAAATGTATTTCTTAAAACTTTAATTCAGGGATTAGCAATCTACAACCGATGAGCCATTCACAATCACTCTTTTATGGACTGTCTGGGCCATCTTTCTCAGACAACTCAGCCATAATGAAATCACAGAGTTGACTGGTTGCAACAGAGACAAGCAATAGCCAAAATATTTTTTTGTTTTATTTTTGACTGACACATAAAAATTCTACATATTTATGGGATACTATGTGATGTTTTGATAATATGTATACTTTAATAATATAATCAGATAATTAGAACACACATCACCTTAAACATTTAACATTTCTTTGTGATGAGAACATTGAAAATCCTACCTATCATGAAATACACAATACATTGTTGTTAACTCCAGTCATTCTACTGTGCAATAACACCTCAGAGCATATTCCTCCTATCTAAATATAACACTGTACACATCGTACCCACTCCTCAATCTCCCTTCTCTTTTTCCCTCTCCAATCACATAATTACCATTCCACTCTCAACTTCAAAGAGATCAAGTTTTTCAGATTCCATGTGAGTAACAGTTTGTGATATTTGTCTTTCTGTGCCTTGATCATTTCACTTAATATAACGTACTCCTGGTTCATCCACCATTGCTGCAAATGACAAGATTTCATTCATTTTATAGCTGAATAATAGTCCATTGTATGTATATACCTTATTTTATTTTTTTATTATTTTTTATTTGACATGTAGAGTTATAGACAGTGAGAGAGAGAGAGACAGAGAGAAACATCTTCCTTCCATTGGTTTACTCCCTAAATGGCCACCATGGCTGGCACTATGCCAATCCGAAGCCAGGAGCCAGGTGTTTCTTCCTGGTCTCCCATGTGGGTGCAGGGGCCCAAGCACTTGGGCCATCCTCCACTGCCCTCCCGGGCCACAGCAGAGAGCTGGACTGGAAGAGGAGCAACCAGGACTAGAACCTGGCACCCACATGGGATGCTGGCACTGCAGGCGGAGGATCAACCAAGTGAGCCACAGCACCAGCCCCTATACCTCATTTCATTATCCAGTTATCCACTGATGGACATTGATCAGGACATACAGAGAAAAATTCTTTCAATCTTAATAGATGTTGCCTTATTAAAAAGTTTAAGAGCTACTTGGTTAAGTAAAACTGAGATTTTCTGTATCATTTCTGAGTCTTTAACATATTAAATATCCAAGGAGGTGATGAGAGTTTGCAGTGTCTTATAAACTTATTCAAGAAAACAACATTTTTTTCACAGAATATCTTTATGGATCTATTTTCCATAGAACCTGCTTGAGAGAATGCTATAGCATCCACTCAGCTAAAAAATATATTAAAGTATCTGCTAAGCACTAAACATTAGAGATTCAAAAATGTATAATATACTATTTTTTCTCTCAAAAAACTATTACAATTTGAAATATCAAACAAATAATTGCAGTGTAGTTCAGGGAAAGCTAAGCTAGGAAACATCAAATGATCAGCAGTAACTCAGAGGGAGGAAATATCAGCTCTGATTAAGGAGGATGGAGGTTGGACATCATATGGGGGTTCTTTCCTCTCTTGGAAGCCCCCTCCATGCTGCTCTGGCTGGAGGTCATCGACTCTAATAAACCTTGCTTTTATAAATCTCTCTGCTTGTCTGCTTGGAAATTCTTCCTCCATGTGAGACAAAGAGCCAGGGTAATAACAATTTCTCTGCTCTCATTTTCCAGTAACATTTTGGTGCTGTTACTCAGATTGCAATTCCAACATGATGTGGATCCCCCTCAAGCTCAACTCCAGCCAGCATAGGACCATCCCACCAGGCCAGTGAGCATGCAAACTGCTGTTTCTTTTTCAGAGAGTCTTATTCTCCTTCATAATAACTCTCTTATTTTTCCAACTGGGTCCCTGTCAGCCTGTTAAAAGCAGTCAATGTGGCTGCCAGTCTTAACTCCAGGGCAAGGCTTGCTGATTAAGGCCAGAATAATGCCCTGGAGCTGAGACTATCCTAACGCCTTTTCTTTGGTGTGGATCGGCCCTTCGTGTGATACTGGAAGGAGGCCTTGAGACAACTGATGGACTCTGGCTGGGGCTACATCCCAGTGTTTCCAGAAGGTCTCTTGACCTGGGCACAGACACTAACAGGCAGAATGGTGTTGGAACAGGAAACACTTTCCTGTAGGGAGCACGTCCCCTGCCCTTTTGGAATCTTCAGGAACTGTAAAGCCAGAGGCTCCACTCTGCAAACTTCTCATCTCAGCTATTCCAACTCAGCTTCCTTTCGTGGGGATTGACCCTGAGACATGGGACTGGGAGGAGAGCTAGGAATAACCTTGACATTCAGGCCAGGGCCACTCTCAGGCACTTTTCAAGGACTCCCTGACTGGACACCAGAACCTTATGGCCCTTTAGGGTGTCAGCCAAAAACTGCATTCTGCTCTTCCTTCCTTAGACATTAATTTGTTTATGACATTGGGCGAAGCTTGGAGCGAAGCCATGGGCTCCGGGCTCCATGCCTCAATGAGTTTTTCCTTTATCCTAGATGCTGACAAAATCACCATCTCTCTGGTCCTCTAAGTGCTTTCTGTACCTCTCCAGGTCTCCTCAATTCCTACAAACTTGATTTCTTGGTCCCATTAGCGAGTGTTTCCTAGATATTTTATTAATTAGCTCTGGGTTAAGGTTTAATTATCCTGTTTTCAAGCAGGCAGTTTTTCGAACTAGATTCCCATTAAGTCCCCGTGTGGCCTGAACTTGTGTAGACCAGTCTCAGCATGTCTCTGGTACCTTCCATCTTCCTTATTAAGTTCCCTCTTTTGGGTCACTTCTGTCTAGCCCTTCCTATATGGTATATACCTCAGAGGAGGTTTAAGGGGAGAATTTTATTCCCTTACTCTGCTTCTTTGTGACTTCACCTACCTAGTCACCAAGCTAGGTGGTAACCAGGGCTGGCAAGCTCTAGTTTAAAAACACCTTTGCTAAGGCTCTCACCATGGAGGCTCACTGTCAAAATCAAGCCCATTAGATAAGACTCAAGGTTAAGACACATAGAGCAACTATTTTTCCTTATACATAAGAACGAAGCCACTGTACATATTTGGCCAGGCAGAGGTCCAGTCTAGCACACCATCAGTAAGGGAACAGATTACCCCCTGCATGTGCTATTCTGACAAATATATACCCTATGCCACAGGAGTGGAAACCTGAGCAAGAGTGGAAGATATGTGCTAATCCCACCCTCACTTGCCTCCCTTCCCTGTGGGCTTCAGTGCACATCTGGATGCCAGAGGCAGCAAGAGAGTTTTGAGAGATGTCTCAAACTCAGGAGGCTTGAGACCTGAAGTACGCTTCTGTTTTTATGCTCTCATTCCAGCCAGGAGGCATACCATCTACTTTGAGATCTCTTTTGACCCCTGGGCTAACAGAAAGTGCCTTGTCATTTTCTGTACCACCTGGCCTGTTTACAAGCTAGAGGATGGAGAAGTTAGCCTAAGAGAGTTGTGAAAAGTGCCAGCCCCTCTACTCTGGCTCCTCGTCTCAGGACTCTGTCCCCTAACTGGCTTCTAGCCTCTATTTCCTACACAAGCTTTATGCATTAAATTCTTTGTCAGAGTGTCATAGGGTCCTTGGGTCTATTTAGTGAGCCACCAGGGTCCCTCTGTTATCACATTTGACAATTGTTGAGGCCTTTAATCCAGGTAGAGAAGAGTTTTTAATCAAGTGACCAATGCCCAATGCCCCCATTGTTGTAATTTTGCCTAGAGGTTTCTAGGCAATAATCTAGGCCAAATAATCTCAGATGCTATTGAATACTTCTTAAGACACCTCCTGACCTTACTGCTCATCTCTAAGCCTGGTTTGACTGACAGCCCCATGATTAGACACTTCCAGTATTGGCTTTTGGTTTTGTGGTATAAAGCTCCTGGGGTCTGTGTGGTGACTGCACCTCTTGCCCCCACAGTGCTCCTCCTCTCAGAACGAATCTACAGCAACATATATATAAAGTCAACTGAAAATAGATCTCAGTAAACAAGAAGAGGGGGAATAAAAAGAAGGAGG